GGCCCGCTGGCGCGGTGATGCCGAGTGGCTCCCTTGGACGTCGCGTGGGCGCCGTAAAAACGCTCCAGTGGGAAGGGTGGGGACCGGCTGCCCCTCTTCCGCGGAAGCAGCGCTGTCCAGACGGGGCGAGTCGAGATGCCCGGAATTCCCGTGGAAGGGAGGTCCGCACATCTTCACGTCGCCCACTTCGGAAAACCCAGCGCTCAGGTTGTTCTGCCAGTCCGATCACGATGCCTCCTCCCTGAATTTCTGCTCCCTGAAGCAGTTGGTGCTCGAGCGATTTCCCTCTGTGGCTTCTGCTTCCCATAATCTCTGATTACTGGCCCTGGTGGCTTCCTTCGTTCTGATTGTCGAGCCTTTTGCTCTGTGGAACGTCAGCTTCATCAGACGCAAACTTTCATCCCACAGTCGTCTTCAGTCGCCCGAGTCCACTTTCTTTCTTTTTCCCTCCAGCTTACTAATTTGTTAATCCTTTTGGTTTAATGTTGTTAAATCTTGGGCCCATTTCTCAATTCCGTTTTTGGATGAAGACACCTCTTCCCTAGAGCTATTTCTGTGCAAGTGAGCGAAGTCTGCTTACTCGTATCCTTGGTAATAGAAAAGTTGTGTGAATCAGCTGCTCATTGGTTTATTTTCTCATCCTTTCTAGTAGGTCATTATGGCTACAGCAGTATACAGGTAGTCCCTGGGGTAAGAAAGCCCGGTTTAAGGACAACTCATAGTTAAGAACAGAGCCTGTGGTAGCAACATTCGAGTTAAATACACCATGATTCAAGTTAAATGCACAATGGTTCGAGTTCATTACACAATGCTACCTACACAGTATTATGCGATCCCACTGTTCTGGCTTACATACAAATTTGACTTAAGGACAGGCCTTGGGAACGGAACTCGTTCTTAAACTGGGGGCTGCCCGTATATATATTTTGTATAGCGGAGTAAATTTTTTAGCTGTATGTATTTGGATATGAGTGCAGGGTCTGATTTCAGCTGCGTACTTCTAAATACGAGCTCATGTTACTGAAGCAGTGAACGGCTAATTGGCTAGACTATCTCCAGTGAGGTGAGCTTAAGAGTGTGGCCTAAAGTGATCAGGTGATGATGCAGATGATGTCTAGGAACAGACATGACTGTGCAGAAGATGGGCTGGGGAAGACTTCCTGTGCATCTTGAATTTTGTGCCAGGTTAACGTGGAGTGCAGTGGTTCACTTCTACGAACTCTGTGTAAAATTTCCTTTCTTGATCAATTTTCTTTAGAAAATGGCAGTTAATGTGTATTCCACCTCTGTGACGAGTGATAACTTAAGTCGACATGATATGCTCGCCTGGATCAATGAGTCTCTACAACTGAACTTAACAAAGATAGAGCAACTTTGTTCAGGTAAGAAGACGGCTGACAGCAGAAGACCGTCTGCTTGAGGTTTTTGCTCATTATTATTTCTCCTTTGAAGAAGCAGTTGGAAACAGTAGAGGCTCTCTCTGATGGGTTGCTGCCTGCCTTGTGTCCTAACTGTAAATTAGCACAGAAGATGCAGTGCCTTTGTAGCACTGGCCCAGTTTGCTTGAACTTTCTGCTTGGAACGTGTACCTTATCCTGCTGGATTTGGGGGTGAAAGGGTATCTTAAGGTTCCACGCAGGTCTGTGGTGTTAGATGTGCCTTGAAACTTCTTATACGGGCAGATGGTGGTGAGCTGAAATCTTTCTCAGCCCTCTCCTAAACCTGAATATGTGTCATTTGGAAATTCTTTGTAGAACGGAATATCAGACTATGCAGAAGAAAAGACTGGGAGCTGTTGTTTTGCAGGTTATGTATTGGTCCCGGTGGAAGGCCGTTAGTGTTAGCCCTGCTGATTGAGTCCTCTGCATTGCGATTAAGCCTCAGAGGAAATGAGTCTGCAGTGACAGTAGCAGTAGCTTGGGCCTTTCTCGCAGACTTGTTATCCATTGTTTTAAAGTATAGTGCAAATAAGATTTACTCCATCTTCCTCTTGCTTTTCTTAAGTGCAGAGAACCCGTACCGTAGTTGTTGAAGGGCTTTCAAATAAGATTTAAACCAGAAGTCACAAGTTGCAGGCCCTGAGGACCTTTGTAAGAAGCTCATTTATGAAAGAGTCCTGTAAGGGAGAAGGGAGGCGAGTGTAATGCAGGCATGGTGAACAGGGGTATCTTCACTGACAACATTTGGGAGTTTGGGGTACAAATTCTGTATTGGAGGAATGCTGGGGAAGAAGCCTTGGGTTTGCAAAATTGGAAAATAGCCTGCTGTCATGCAGGATGGAGAGGGGAGGATCTCTAGAGTAGTTATCTTATTCATAGGGGTGTGCAAACCGTGTTGTCTTGAACTGTTTTGAGTACTTTTTTTGGATGAAATATTCTGCCTCAAGTGAGAAACTGGTGTTTCAAGTTCCAAACATGCTGTTTCAAGCATTTTGGAAGTGTTTAAGCTAGAAACTCTTCCAACATGCTCAAGACAGCCTGATTTGCAAAATCTTGTGCTCAAAATAGTTTGAGATGAAATGTCTTGTGCGCTGTTGCTAATCTGTCTCTGGGCCCTTTGTACTTCCCTTCAGCAGTTAATTTTGGGTGACTAGATCCTTGATGTGCATTTGTAATCAGCTTCCTTTTCATTAATCATCTTGACTGTTTCAGATGTGCTGCTCCATCCCAATACTATTTTTATTCTGCTTTTTGAAAATTTTCCTGTACAAACATAACTTCTTGACGCTCCTGCATTTGCACAAGGGCGAGGATTGCCATTTCATGTCCTAATGAAAACACAGTAGTATGCTGGAAAAACCTAACACTCCGCAATGCTCTCCTAGGCATCCTTTGAATTTCATTCTAATGGGGCTTGTGCAGAAAATGTTTCTGGTGGAGTGCTGGAGTTAAGAGCTTTTCCATCTTACTGCAAACGATGGGTGATTTTCCATCTGTGGCTTCACTTCCTTGGTTTCAACCTAAGTATTAGACAAGTGGAAACTTCGGCAGTTGCTTATTCCACAGCTATTACTCTTCATCTATGAGCAAATGACTCTGTATCCATATTAAATACATAGATATGGAATGGAGGCCTTGCTGCATCATGCTGAGTATGTTGGTGAGAGCAAGTGCCATGTCTCAGATGTCTGTGGCAGTGCCTCTCCACGATGAAACAGGCTGTTTAGTACTCAGTGACATGGAAGTGGTCCAGTTTGGTTAAAGCAGGTCAGATTTATGCTCTGTAGGGTCTAATTGAGGAAATTGGGATTGGTGAAACAGGAATTTTCTTGCAGAAGAGAGCATTGGGACTGCTGTAAAGGATGCCGTTCTAGAGACAGTTGCAGTGACTGTCTTGACGCACGGCTGTGCCACAGGTGCACTGACGTCTGGGGAAGGACCCATCCGGTTATGCTGCTAGCCTTTCTGGAGAGCAGGGCCACTGGTAGCCTCAGCCTAATTTCAGAAGTCTTTTGTGTGCAACCCATTTGGCCCTCTGGCAAATGTGACTAGTCCCATTCCCTGCTCTGTGAAGAGGGGGGTAGACAAAAGGAGTGACAGAAGAGCAGAAAAAGGGTGTCTCCTCTACTAAGGGCTCTTTCCCACCCAGCTGCTTGAACCAGGTTCCCACAACAGATTTCTCTTGCGATGCAGCCTCCAGCAGAAAGAAAGATTGGCAGCCAGTGTTACAAAGTAATGCAAAGATTTTGATTTTTTGCCCTAATCCCACGTGCTAAGATGTAATTATCACCAAGACGTTTCTCTTTCTCTCACTCTCTCTCTTTTGGCCAGGTGCTGCTTATTGTCAGTTTATGGACATGCTCTTCCCAGGTTCTGTAACACTCAAGAAAGTGAAATTCCAAGCAAAGTTGGAACATGAATACATTCAGAATTTCAAGGTCCTACAAGCAGGTTTTAAGCGAATGGGTGTTGACAAAGTAAGACCTTTAGATCTGTGTGTGTCTTCCCTGATGTCATTTTTAGGAATGTTGCAGCTTTGAGAACTTGCATTAGCTTCCTTTGCTCTTTTTGCTGTGGCCTAAGACATGAACATTGATTTCTTTTGAATATCTGTCAAAAGGCAGCATTTTCCCCCACACTTTTCCAATTATTATTCAATAATGCTGGAGTTCTGTTCAGTCGTGTTCAATTTAAACCAGATATATTTCTTTAGACAAGACTGGAGTCATTTGTATAAAACTGTTTTGTTCCCACCTTCAGTGTGTACCTTTTCCAGGAAAAGCAGCACTTGGGACTTTTTTTTAAAAAGCATTGGGTAGCTGATGTGCCAAGTACCTCTTAGTGCATGGCTGAATATGACAGGACAGGATTCTTGTTTTGTCAAATAGGTATTTTTCTTGCCTTTGTGCCACTTCTGCCTGCATTGACTTGTGGCCCCAAAACAGAGAAGTTAAAGTTCCTTATTTTTTTTTCCTTGGAGATGTTTATCTTTGTCAGTTATTAATAATATAAACCCCATGAACCAGTTTTCTACTCCAGATATTTTGTGGCTGTGGGTTAGGGCTCCAGATGCCCCTGTTCGGCCAGTCCCTTCTCTGTGGAAAAATATTTATAGGAATTTTCAGAAGATGTATAGCAAATAGAAAAACATCTAGCCCTTTTTAAACTTCCATCAAAAGCAGGTGTGGGAGTGAAAGAATGCCTGTACTGCTGCATTTGAATTATTGAAAGCACAGAAGGAATGTGGATTTTCATATGCTAATTTTCACTTGAGTAGTTTTGAGTCACTGCTGTCTTCCAAATTAGATTTGGGTTTGTATTAGTCTAGTGCAGGGCTTCTCAACCTTAGCAACTCCAAGATGTGTGGACCAACTCCCAGAATTCCCCAGCCAGCACCTTCGGGTTGCAAGGTTGAGAAACGCTGCTCTACTGATTAGGATTCAGTGCTATTATTGCCAAGCAGAAGCTTCCCATTTCTAACCAGGATGTCAGGGCTGGGAAAACTGCAGAACGGTCCCTGATGTGGGTTGACCATATTGAGGTAAAAGGACCAATGGCTTGGTTCTGTGTAAGGCTGCTTTTTGCCTTCTGGTGTGCTCTTTTTTCTCTCTCCTCTCTCTGCTCGGACAGCCATCTTTTCTGGGGCTGTTGGTGCGTGGGATCTGTGGGGACCAAAAGCAGAGAGGTGGTTGGCCTGAATGGCTCTGTGCTCAGATGCTGGACAAGCCGGGGGCTCTCTAAATGTCCTGTTGCACCTGGGGAGAATATTTACTCAAACCTGTAGTTGTCCACAATCTGAACTTTGTCAGAGCACGGTTGGGTTGGCCAGAAGTGGATCATATCGATCCTATTTACTGGAAACTCCACGCTTTGTGTAGGCCTTAAGTAGTTCAGCCTCATTTGAAGGCCATGTTACATGTTACATGGTAGATGCTGCTGAGCAAATAGCAGCTGCGAGACTATCTCCCAGGTTGGTTTGGGAAAACGGGTGGAGACAGTTAACCTCCTTGATTAGCTGGGTACAGTTAGTTTGCTCTGAAGGTTAGACCAGTGGTTTGAGGCACGCTAATGTAAAATCTTTATTTATTTTTTTAGTAGTAACATACATTTCTGTGAAGACAAAACAAAAACAGTTCTAGCAGTTTTGCTTCATAGGAGAAAAATCCAAAACTTGTAACAGGGCAGAAACTTTATTAGCATCCAACAAAAGAACGTGTGTGCTTTCAAGTTCTCCAAGGAAGTTTCTTTAGGCTAGATGTTACAAAAACATTTGTGTGTTTCTAAACAGCAGCCGGCCACAAGTTGATTGCAAGACCTTGGTCTAAGTAAATATAAAGATTAGCTTTCCTGCTTATAGGGAAGTTTGTAGCAATTGAAGATTTTAAAAAGTAACAGGAAGTTTGGGGAAATCTTGAAATTTACACAGAGCCTAAACAGCCATCTGTTAGCATGCTTTAATTTGGACTCCTGCTCTAAGCTGGTGGGTGCTCTTGAAGGCCTCAACATCCACTTCCCACTTAGGGTTCTGTGAATTATAATGATCTGATGATGTAAATAGTCTTCTATAAAGCTTTTCTTGTGGCTTAAGTTTTAGAAATAATTTTTGGAAGTAAAGCCTATCAAACAACATATGAACTCCTAAATATTTTATGCATCACTCAAAAGTATAATTTAAGCAAATGATCATAATCTAGCTTTCCACATTTTTTCAATGGGGGGAAACCCCCCAAATATTTTGTGATGTTTTAAAAATCTTCACATCTGTAGCCTAGGGTCAACTCCTGATGGCATGTCCAGCTTAAACAAAGCTAACTTAGGCGAGAAACATGTGGCGTCTTCCCATCTAACTCCATCTGTACGTGCACCAGAATTGTTGCAATGCCATTCAGTTTCTCTTGCACCGTGAACTTTATGCCCACCTCTCTTCTGGTCATCCAGAATTGAAATTTTTTGAAGGGAAGCCTTTCTGAATTTGGGCTGAGGAACGTTGTATGCCCCTTTCTGCTGTAATTTTCAAGTATGTTTCTCGTTTGGGCTAAATATCCTCAACCTCTCTCCTCAGATAATACCTGTGGACAAATTAGTAAAAGGAAAATTCCAAGACAATTTTGAATTTGTTCAGTGGTTCAAAAAATTCTTTGATGCAAATTATGACGGGAAGGACTATGATCCTGTGGCAGCTCGGCAAGGCCAGGAGACGGCCCCGGCCCCGGCCCTCGTGGTCCCTCTGCTGAACAAGCCTAAGAAGAACCTTGGTTCTGGCGGCACGGGTAAGGGAGACCGCTGGGGCTCGGGGGCCCCCTGGGGCCGGCTCTGCTGGTTGGGGGCTGTGGGAGGTGCAGCCCCGGCGCTTGGGGGAGGCCCGCGAAGGGAACACCCGTAATGGCACACGCCTCATCCCACCTCAGGCCTTCGTGCCTTGGCGTGTGCCTGGTCTCCTCCCTCGCCAGGTCTGGAATTCCGCTTAACACTGCAAGATCCGCAAGGTTACGCTGGCAGAGAGAGAGGTGGTGATTTGTAGGCTACCTTGATCAGTGGAGGAAGCCTAGAATTAAAACAGCCACAGAAGAAATAAAATACAAAACATACGTAGCTACCCTTCAGGGAGAATAACCAGCTCAAAACAATTATTACACAAGGATGTTCAGTGGGCTCAGTTGTAGCTCCTTCACTGTCTAGGCCGGTGCAACCTCCTTAGAATTCGGGTGGCTGTGGACGTTCGCTGAGCGCTAGTTTTGAGAGAGCTGACATTTTTAAACAGGAAAAGAACCACCAGGTTTTGAGGCTGCCTGTTAATTCAGGCCTTTCTCAGCCACGCTGGATGTGTGGGAGGCTTTGCCTTTCACTGTTTTACCTGGGGCCTAGTAGTTGTGAAGCGCTTTACATTAGCGTGTAATAGTTAGAAGTCCTCTCCTTTTATAGATAACAGTTATGTACGAACTTCGGAACTGAAGGCAGCAAGAGCAGATTCTCCTGCTTCCTTAAAGAAAACTGCTGCAATTGGTACTACGCAGGTGGAGGGAGGAGTTGTGCCTTGTGCTGTTCTTTGGGCTCGTAGCACACTGGGTTGCACGCTTCGGGTGCCGTTCACTGTGGTTGGCAGTGGTGCAGAGGCCCGGCTCCCTGCCGCAGAGCACTGCTGATACGTTTCTCTCTTCCAGCTCCAACGAGGCCCATAGTAACGCAGAGAACAGCGGTGGCTAATAAATCAGGACCTGGAATGGTTAAAAAGGCTCCTGCAGGCATCGGAGAGGATGAGTCAGCTGAGTTGATACAGCAGGTGGGTTTGGGGGTGAGGCCTTCCGGCTGAGATAAGTGATATGGGCAGCTGTGATTCCTCTGACGTCTGCCCTTGGGTGTAAATTTTGATGCCCTTCATGCTAAGATTAAACCTCATGGGTCTCCAAAGGGGTCAGGGTGGGAGCGTCTGTTAGCCCCTCCTGGAGTTCCCAATTAGCAGGTGGCCTGGAGCTGCAGCGATCAGTGGCCAGCAGCTTGCTTTTCTCATATAAGCAGCTTGATGGGGAGTTGAAGGTGTGGGTTGGCTTCCATGCTTGTTGAGTCAAAGATGCAGTGTCAGGTTTTCATCTCTCCCACGGCATGCAGTTAGTAGATCTGGCCTAGTCTTGCTTTGAGGTGTGCAAGTCTGTCGTCCTGTTGTTAGCAGAACCGATGGCAGAGACAAGATTTGGGACAGCGGAGTGAGAGGGGAGGGTGCTGTCACCGTTGCTGAAGGAAGGCCTTGGGTCTGTGCCCGAGGTCACAGCGCTTGCAGTCACTGAGGAGGGTGAGAGGAGGCCTGGGGTGGAGCCTGTCCTCGGCCATGGAAACCCAGAAACACCTCTGGGCCAGTTCATCTCTCTCAGCCCCACCCTACCCCACAGGGTGATGGTTTGAGGAAGGGTAAGGCAAGAGAGTACTGGGTAGACCACCCTGAGCTCCTAAAGAAAAGGTGAAATAGAAATCTAATGAATAAATGAAATAAATGTTTCACCTGATGATTTCCAGGTTAAATTTGTACTGGTGCAGCTGGAGTAGGAATAAGACTTGGGAGTTCAATGGTGTGTTGTTTTTCCTGTTTCTGCCCTGGTCTCCCTTTGCAGTAGTGACTCAGGAGAGGAGCTGAGGAGGGAAAGTGCCACCCATTTCCTACATCTTTTTCTTGCTCATGTCTCCGAGTGTCTGTTGCAGACATGACTCTTATGAAGGCAGAAAAAAAATCTTATTCTTTCCTGATTATTAGTGAAAGAAAGCTTAAGTGACTGATGATTTTGGAAGTTACATTTAACACTTTATATAGGTATTGCAAATCATCCACTTGTTGAAAGAAGTGGTTAGAACTCTGCTGTAATAAGCAACCTGTTAATTTTAGGAAAAGTAGGAAAGGAATAGTTATTCTGTCAAAGAATAAAAAGTATGATAATCCAGAAACCATTTCCCCCCATAACTCTCATTCCCTGTAATTAACAGGTTCTGGCTCATTACATTAATTACAAATGTAATGTCTGCTCCAAAGTGACCCCCCTGGAATTTCGTGGGGCTTTGTCCCAAGTAAGGGCACCTAGGGGGCCTGAACGTTTTGGAGGCACAAAGTAGGTAGGCTGCAACCTGCAGATAGTTACGGCTGAGTTTTCCTTTCGTGCAGTATCTCAGTTATGGAGCTTACACTGCAGCTTTCATCTCTTTGGAACCGTGTCTGAGTTTTCAGCAGCCACAGAGCAGGCAGTAAGGGCCACAGAAAGGGGCCCCAGGGGTTGCAGCTAGCTTTGGACCTACAGGCTGCAGGATTCCAGCCTACAGCTCTTGCAAGCATCTTTGTGGTAGCTCCTCTTCACTCATTTTGTCAGGAAAATTCTGAGTTGAACTGTTCTTTGTCAGATCAATGTATTAAAGATGACTGTCGAAGATTTGGAAAAGGAACGAGATTTCTACTTCGGAAAACTGAGGAACATCGAGCTGATTTGCCAGGAGAACGAAGGCGAGAGTGACCCGGTTCTGCAAAGGATTGTGGAAATACTTTATGCTACAGATGTAAGTTGGCGTGATCTGCCGGATCTGGCAGTGGCGCTTCGGGCTCAGGCGTTTCTGTGATGCCGGTATTTGCTTCTGCAGTAACTCTGGTGTGCAATTTCCTAGGAAGTTTGCATGCACGAGCCCACTCAAATGAATATCGGTTATGCAATCACACTGACTGGTTTTAAGTGACTTCCATAAAGGTCATTCTGACCGGCAGATTCGGCAGTGACTGTCAGAGTTGGTGAATTGCAGTTACCGGTTTCAAGGATAGATCAGTCACTGTTCATTGGGGGGAAAGGAAAGGGGGAGGTTCAGTAGTGGTCGGTGACACTTATTTAATTTTAAAAAGTCTGTGCTCACAGCCCTTTGCGTTTCATACACTTTGCCACTTGCTTTTTTTGAATGAAGATGTTTTATGCATATTTCAACATTCATTTTCTTCTGATGTTTATGCACCATGTTTCCATCCAACCAGTCATCCTCAGAAAATGCACAACCGCCCACACAAGCTCCGCATGCAGAGCGGTTGCCTTGTGTGTCGCGTCAGGCAGACCTCCAGCCGCGTGCCCCGAAGACTGTGCGGAAAGGGGCGCTGTGTCCTGTGCAGCCTCCCTTAGTTTGCTCCTTCTGTCTCCTCTTCTAGGAAGGCTTTGTGATACCAGATGAAGGAGCCCCGCCAGAGGAGCAAGAGGAGTATTAATGGTCCACCTACTGTACCAGCAGAGCAGCAGCAGCAGAGTCAGAAGTCAGAAATCTTTGCCCCAATCATGTGCTTATCTGTAAAATACTCCATTTTATTCTTAGAGGACTCACTGGTTTCTTTTCAAAAGTAAAAAAAAAAAAAAGTACCTCTCCAAGTGCACTTTGCGTAAGTTTTACTATTTTCCCCCTTCCAATGGGTTTTTTTTTGAGAGCTCTTTTCTCACTTTCATAGCAGAACGGTATTAACATCTATCTGGTGTAATTTGGAAGCAAGAGGTTGAATACTTGGAGTTTGCAGAGTTGCTTGGTTGCTGGTAAAGCACTGATTTATGGAGAATTTGCAGTACGGTGTGTCTGGGGGATGGGAGAGGCTATGGAATGGAGTAATTTCAGTATTGTCTTTTCTGCGGGAAGGTTGAGGAAATGTGACATGTGTTCTGTAGTGAAAGAGATGCCTTAAAGGAGGCTTAATATGTGCTTCCAGATGACAAATTAAAGGAATGCGATGGGAGATTTTAGGTGCTCTAAAATGGGGTTAGAGCTTTCTTGTTTTGGAAGGAATTGTTTGGCACCTCAGGCAAGTTGTAAGAGTTAAACAGATCGGTGGCTGAATGGAGTTGCCCACACGGCTGATGTTGTTCTAGGAGAAAATACTTTGGTTGCAAGACAGGAGTTGGTGTGAAGCAGGTGCCCGAAGCCCTCTTGCTTCTACTGTTACGGCCCACGGCCTGGTGTATCTTCCAAACAATAAGGTTCTCCTAACTCTCCACCTGAATCTAGTTCCCCCTCTTGCCAGCTCCTGCTGTTGCATCTCTGCTCCACTGAATGCTGTGGGTTCTTCGGCTCCTCTCTGCACCCCTGCTTCCTCTGCTTCCAAGCCTGCTGACAGAACTAACTCTGAGGCTGTTGTCTAAAAGAACCCCTGTTGTTTTGGACAGTAGCTCCCATCCTTCTCAACAAGCCAGGATGTTAAGTAGGGATTATGGAACCGTACTCCTAAGGATTCGAGAGAGCACCTGGTCCTGGTGCTCCACTTGCTCGAATGGACCTTCTAGTTTGTTTGCAGCCCGCGCTGAGAGCCGCCTGGGTGAGCAGAGCACGTCCGGTTGCAGGGGCCATCCTTGAGTCATCAGTGCTGGTGCTGCAGATTACTAGGGAAAAAAGATAAATTTGCGCATTAAATAGGCAAGCCGATATTGCAGACGATAGAGTGCTCCGATGAATTTTGATTATTACAGTATTCTGTGCTTGACCCCCTCCCCCTCTTGTGTGGAGCAAACCTCATATTTCTCTTCCCAATGGCTGCTCTTTGGGGAGGGGGCTTTTAGAGGTTTGCCTGCAGCCACAGCAAAGACTAAGCTTTCGGCTTGGTGTGTTCTTTGTTCGTTTGCTTCCGGTGGTTGTGTGTCCTCGATGTGTGTAGAAAGCAGAGTTATGGTAACTGTTGTGTAGTGCATGATTCCTTATGAAAATTCAGCGGAAGACCCACGTTCAATGAATGCCAAAAACGAAAGAAGGAAAGAAAGAAAGAAAAGAAAGCCATTATTTAAAACATCAGAGGTGCTATTTCTCTTGTGGCCTTCTAGATACTTGTTGCCCTAAATGATATTCAAACCAGACTCCTCTTGACAGGGTTTTTTCTACTTTTAAACAGTTTCTAAATAAAGTTCTGTTATTTCAAGAAAGTTACGTCTTCTGGAGTGTCATGTTCTTGTACAGTGGGTTTTTCTGAAGATCATTTTCTTCAACATCAAAGTTCTCTGTCCTCTTTGTTCACGTCTCCCTTAAGTTGGCTGCATCTCACAGCCTCTGGGTATATTTGGCGTGGAGTCCGTGGACCAGCATCTTTAGGGTGAACTTAAGGAGGCCTTTCTGACATCTCTCTCTCTCTGTCTCTCTCTCTCAAAGTCACCGCAACTCCCAGTGCTTCCTCCTGTGATGCCTGGGGCTGCATCTCACAAACTCTGGGTTCCTTAGGTCTTCCTCTGTGTGTGTGTGTGTGTGTGTGTGTGTGCACATCCTTGACCAACACCCTTGAATTTCAGAAGAAGGTGGCTAATTGCTGTAATATCAAGAATTAAACTTTGTCCGCAAAACTGAACAAAGGTGGAAAATGGTGAACTCAAGACTGCAACTCTTACAACAATACTTTTGGGCATAATTAGCCAGAAATATTTTCTAGCAGTTCCTTAAGCTGGAAATTTAAAATGGCACTCAAATCACTTGGTCTTTGGCTTGAAATGAAAACCCTCTATAGGATGCTGCTGCTTATATCCACAGCAAAGTGTGAAGCTCTGAAGAGCAGGAAGGGCCCCCGAGTCAGGGTCCATTTTCAGTTCTAACGGTGTATATAAGCAAACTAGATTTTCTGTATGGCTGTGCAACTGGGCTATCTTTGCTAAAGGGAAGGCGTAAGAGACAGGAATGTGCAGCCAGTAGGTTTTGGGTAAAATGTGAGCAATTAGAGTGTCTTTGGCACTTTTATCTACCCTGTACCAGTGCAGAATAGAAACAAATCTGGCATGTAGAGTTCTCACCAGCCAGAGAAGCTGCATTTAAAAAATGCCCTTTCTGGTATTTTGAAATATATGTAAGAGGTTTTCCTATTGCTTTTCTGAATCAAAAAAAAGGACTTGGTATAGTACCTAATATAAAATTCTTTTGCTAAAGGGCATGTTCAAAGATTTTCTTAGTCTTAACATTTTTTCCCCCGATAACTGGAGGCTAACAAATAGAATAGGCCAAACCAAGAGACATGTATCTTTCTATAAAGAAAAGCATATGTCTTCCAGGTGGGTTTGAAAGCGATTTTTCCTCAGTTTATTGCTCAACCTTGACAAGGTTCCTACTTGCAGTGGCAATTCTTACTGTAACTGTCAAAAAGTAAAAAAATAAAAATACAAGAATTTCCATTAAAACTGTGGCTCCATAGCATCGTGATTTCTTTAGCTAGACGGAATGTTCGAAGCAATTTATAGACTTGGAAACGGCTGCAGGATAGATCGGGAAGTTGGAAAATATCCCAGAAGATAACAGCAAGCCACTTCTGTCCTGCTGCCAAGAAAACGGTGTGGATGCCCACAAAGTCACCAGGATTTGCGTTTGACTCAGAGACGTGTCTTGATGGAAAATGGAGACACGTGGATGAGCCGTGGGAGCGTTCCTCCTTTCCACGTTCAAAACAGCTGCCAGGTTTGGGATAATAACAGGGAAGCTGAGGCCCTTCAGAAAGTCCTGGGCCACCTTTTGCCATGTGCTGTTCCTCGTACATGATAGAGGTTCATAAAAATTAAAAATTCAGGGTATTGTCAGAACACTGGAACTGGGTGACAACCTAACAAAGTTGACGAGCAGATTGCAGAGTGGCTGTGTTTTGCAAAGGTGCATGGAAGAGGAGCTCTCGGCGTTCATAATTCCTGCGTTGCGTGCCCTTCAACCAGCACCTGGGAATTGTGGTCCAACACATGAAGAGAAAGTTCCTCTTCACCTTCATCAGTGGAAGGAAATAGATGGAAGTCAATGCTGGTCTTGATAAAAAAGGCCCTTTACAACTTAGGGCTAGATTGTAAAGATCATCTAGGGTTGTCACCCTAGATCAGGGTTCCTCAACCTTAGCAACTTTAAGATGGGGGGATTTCAACTCTCAGAATTCCCCAGCCAACATGCTCTTCTCTCTTGACCAGAAATAGCCCATTCTGTATGTTCAACCCAAGAACAGTTGCAGAGGCACCCCACCCCATAAGAGGTGAAAGGAGTGAGGTTCTGGAGGTGGCAGCCCCCACATTATGGAGCCCCATGCCCCCAAGTTTTGGAATCCTTTCCTTGCTTTCTGCAAAGTGCTGAGAACCACCTTATCCTGGCAAGCATTGGTGTGAGTGGTGGACCCGGGATAAGGATTAGTGCTTGCTGTTGGTTTGTGGTTTGCGATTTTGTGTATATGTGTTGTAAATTGCCCTAAGTCTTTGGAGCAGGGTTCAGGTTGTAACAACAAAAGGATGAAAAGGTGGTCACTATCACAAAAGAGGCAGAATAATTACACGAGAGAAAGACTTCATGGTGACTACAGAACTTGGGTATGGGAGAGGACCAAATATTTCAGCCCAGCAGCAAGAGCCCCAGATGTTCTGTGAAGTGAGATCATAGTTCTAAAGCTCGACATCACAGTTGAGTTTGTGGGGAGTCAAGAAGGGGAGAACATTCAGGTGGACTACCTGAATTGGTGCCTAAACACGCAACAGGAGATGTACCGCAAAACGATTAATTCTTCCTTTGGGAAGACCCTCTCCTTGGTGAGTTCTGGGGTCAACTCTCAGATCAGCACTCCGAGGAAACTGAGCCTCCACCCCTCTGTCACCTGGTGAGTGCAGCTATTGGCAGTTCTTTTGCCACGGACTGTCAGTGAAGTTGGATTCATGCGTGATGCGAAATCATACATTTCTTTATTCGTGGCTTATTCCGTAAATTGCAGTTTGCTTGCACAACACACTAGGCCACATGGTTTTCAAACCATAACAGCTGATTTGGGACTTCATGAGAGGAATGGCTTTTCTGGTTAGATTCACACAATATGCTGTGTGAAAGGCTAAAATGAGGTTGCATGGCATATTGATTCAAGATGTAGGCCTCCAACCCTTATCTGGAAAGTTATATGAACCCAAGCCATCACGAGTTTATTGGTTTGAGCATCGCACGGGATGTAAAGGCAGCGATGGTGTCTTGTTGCTCTGGATTTAGAGTTACGTCTGTGAACTCAGCCCATTCTAATGGTCCTCAACATAGGCCCTGCCTGGTGGTGGACCTTCCAAATGATCGTGCGTAGAAGTTAAGCTTTGTGTTGCTCGTGAACAGGGAAGGTATACAAGAAGTGATGATAAACAACTGGCATCTTTTTAGGCGTCTTGAATCATAAACTAACCAAACAGATTAGATTGGGACAGCACGCTAAAGAACACACGTGTGAGAAATCCCAATCTACTTCATGTGCAAAAGCAGCTCTTTAACTGACCTGGTAAAGCACATTTTCTGAATGCAGACAATACAGGAAGTGGTTCTTTGTGGAATTAAGAGATGTTCATGGATCCTCTTTCTCTAGGCTAGCAAGCATTTCATGTTGATTTCTGTATATCAAATTCTTATTAAAGATACTGGAATTGACTAGGCCATTTTTTTCCTGCACTTTAAAAGCACTGATCCAAGATACGTCTCCAACAGCCACCTCCTCTCCCTTGGACCTCCTCCTTTCTTTCTGGCACAGAAACACAGGACGTATTTATGTCACAACAAATTTATTTTGGTTTAATACCCATTTTAACTGTTATCATTTCTGCCAGCTTGCTGGGAAATGCAGTGCTGATCAAAGACATTAAGTTCATTTTTACTTCTCGTCCTAGACTTATAGAGTTCCCAGTTTCTCTGCATGACAGGAATGGTTACTTAACTCATCCAATCTGTCTTGCAGAGATAAATTTTTACTCAATCATCCCTAAATCGGTACCCTCAAGTTGTTTCTGACTCCCATAATCCCAAACCAGGACGGCCAGTGGAGTCCAGCACAACTGGGGGATACTGGGTTGGAGTTAAAGACTACTCTTACTGTCCCAAGTGCTGATTTTTGCATTCCAGCATCTTTGGAAGTGTTGCAAAAGGAAGAGGATCTCAGGTAGGACACTGACTTAAACATCCCTCCCACCTGATCCTTCCTTGTTTTTGTGAAATCATTTTGTACTTCCTTTCCAGTGTTTCTTTCAAGGCCTTTTCTCCCCTCTGAAAGAGGAAGCAACTAACCTTTTCCAAGATTGGACGTGGTTCCTCCTACTGCTAACCTTGGTTACCCCTTGTGGCTCTGAGCATCTCTGAGGGAACACATGTAGAGGACAGAGGGAATGGCCTTGAAGGACAGGAGGAAGAACCATGACAGGACCAAGACAACGATCAGAGAAGTGGAGCTTGAGTCAATTCTCAAAAATGAACTTGAGAAAACTTTTCAGAAAAGCACCTCTCTAATTCACACAAAGATAAAGTGAGGGAGGGGCAAGCACATTCAGACTTGCAAGATTCTGTTACTCTAGCTATTCCCATAAAAGTAGTCTTAGACCCATATGGCATTGGTATCTTAGTCTGATCTGCTTTAAAGGGATCAAGACTTTGGGGCTGCTTGGATTTTGATAATAGTTCTACAGGATAGTTTTGGACAAAGATGCCTCTTCTCAAAGCTTGCCTTTTTTGGTCAATAGCTTTCTCTGAAGTGCAGGCCTCCTTCCTCAGTTGAGTGGTGGGGAGCCTAGTGGACTTCTGGGTGTGGGGTGAACTTTTCCCACCACATCTGCAGGGTTCCTACATCTGCAAGTGAAGTTTAGATGGATTAAGGTGCTGGGCAATCAGCTTTTCCCTGCTTGAGCACTATTCAGTTTTGTATTGACAATCTCATAATCTCCAACCTACATGGCCATTCTGGCTGCCAAGGAAGGATGATGGGAACTATAGTCCACTGCCTCTGGACTGGTCATCTGAAGGCTTCATTTGCACAATATGCTTACCCTAATTAAACCATCAACTCTGTGAGCTGCGCTTGCAACACATTAAATACATTCAGCCTAACATGAGTTGAGTTTGTTAGGCTGTGCAACTACATCTGCTAGGCCTGACCTGACCTGACCTGGCCTGTTGCATGACCTCAGCTGAACAGAACCAGCCCTGTGTGCAACATGTGCTAAAACCAGCTTCAAGCTAGTCCAACCTGCTTGCTTGGGGCTCTCAGAGCACACAGCTGTGCTAGTTGGGTCAAAAGTTGCTGTTTACGCACATGGATTCCTACCCATTTTGCTAAGGATTGCCTGGTATCCCATGAATCTGTGGACAGGGCAGCCCTGGCAAGACTCACAGCATCACCAGCCTTTCCATGTTGGCAACCAGGAGCCATTCTGATGGAAAAGGACTTCTTCCACGCTGACATAGGCTAGCTTGTTGGAGCTGTTTGTTCTCATTTTACAGATGAAGAATTGAGACAGAGTCCAAACTCCCCTATTGAATCTCCCAAAGGCAGGATGTTTGCTGAAAATCCATGCCCTTTTTTAACCCTGGGCTGAATCATGCGTCTGGGAGGTTTAATAGGGGACCTTGGGCTCTGCTGATTACAATGCTAGTATTTATGGTCTTGTAGCTGATGTTGGTTTATCTCTAAATTTTTAGGGGAGGTGTCGATTCTGAGGGAGATGTGATCCTTAAGCAACATGCGCCTAGTGCAACCCCCCAAGTAAGTACATGATTAGCTCTGTGGCTTCCCCACATGTCAGGGGAAGCTACTGGAAAGGGTTGCAGCACAGTGTTCAGGAAGCCTTGTGGTCATCTCTGATGTTGGTTTCTGTCCTAAGCTTTGCTCTTTTTCCAGACCCAGCTCAGAAGTGTCTGTGTTGGTCTTCTTGGATCCAGACTATCTCTAAGAACACTTGTGTAGCCTGGATCCTCTTTAAAGGCTGTCCTCCATTTCTGTCCGCTAAATATAGTTGGGTGATGGATCCACAGAAGAAGGTTGTCTTAACTGTGAGATACCCACTCCAGGGAAACCTCCCTGGGATTTGTGTTGGTTTCCTCAGTTAACCATTTTTCTCCTCTGAGACACATGCTCTCAGAGATAATTTATTAAAAGTAGTAATTTCTCTCTGGACGAGGGAAAGAAATGTAGTTTTGTTGTGACTCTGCTATAAAGTATGTTGCAGCTCCACAAAGTGGGGCTTCTCTAGAGCTGAGAGCCTGGGTATCCCGTATAGATTCTGCCCACCCAATCTGAGAATACCTGCTGAAGTTCCCCCCTATCAAGAGGTGCAATGGGAGGAGACCCAAAGTGGTCATTCTCTGTGGGGAGACTCCCCTCTTCTGGAACACTTGCTCCCAAGGCAAGAGTAGAGCCCATTCTTCTGGTCTTTTGGAAGCTCCTAAAACTTGGACGTTGCAGAAGATTTTTAGGACTTGAACACTGGAGAATCCAGTTTTCACCATAATTATATACTGTACTTCTGTTGCTGCATATTGTTCTGTTGGCTGTTGCTTCTGTGCTCCACTGAGAGGTGTTTCTGCTCATTGGCACAGAAAGGTGGGGAATTCATAAAATAAACAAATTGGTCAGTTTGGTCCTGATTGTCACTTGACCATGAGGAGAATTCTTACTGCCTCTTCCAGTAGTGGGCTAAACCTGGTTTCACTGGACTACAGCTGCAGTGACCAAAGTGAACGCATCCGTGAGCTAAGCTGTGGTGCCTGCTGAATCAAGGTGCACACTTTGGGCTTCTGACAGGCTAAACGTCGAGTCCTAGACTTTTCGAGTTGGAAGGAATCCCAAGGATCATCTAGTCCAACTCTCTGCAGCGTGCAGAAAAACACTTCAATCATCCCTGAGAGGTGATTATCTAACCTCTTCTTGGACGCCTTCAGAGATGGGGAATCCACAATTTCCATAGCCAGACCATTCCACCGTTGGGCAGATCTCACCATCAGCAAATGTTTCCTTATATTTAAGCAAAATTTAGGTAGCTGCAACTTATAAACACGTTCACGCATTTATCTGTTAATTTCTTGCTTATTGATTAAAAGCAAAATATAGTTTAAGAATAGAACTTGTACTTTTGAATTTGGTTTCTGCAGCAGACTTGCAGACTAGAGAGGCAGACAGACAGACACACCCACTGCAGTTTTGTTGCAGACTTAAAAGTGCATGTTAAAAGACAGTTTTATATTTGCAGGTTTTGATCCTGGGGGGAGGAACGGGTACATAGAAACTGAATTTGGTGAACCGGCTTCTGTGATGGAATGGAATTATGAAGGCCAGGCTCAGAGAGATAAACTTTCTTAGATCGCCAGAAGAGTGTGGGAGGATCAAGAGGATGAGACTGGCACCTCCCTGAGGAATTCACACTGTTGTGGCTGGAGGACTTTGGGACTGGGGTGTCCATTTGGGGAGAGTTTTGGTGGGGGGGGGTGATTAAAAAAATAAAAGGGAAGAAAATTTATTGGCTCTTTGGGGTTCCTTGGGTTGGGTG